TTTTTTTTTTTTTTTTGTATGTATGTTACCACGTCAACCGATTTCGATAATACTTTTTGCATCGGAAAGGTAGTGTCTCAGAGGTGATCCCATACTAATCTGGTTAAGATCCGATCAGCGGAACATGAGATATATATATATATTTTTTTTTTATATGGGAGTTGAAGTCGGTTTTTTTTTGCTAAAAATTACTTGTTTTGTATAGAAACACTGATATGTATGCATTTGAGTGTAAGTTACTTACCGCTTCCACATGGACAAGGCATTTTATGGTTTATTTTTAAGTTCTTACACTTAATTTGAGCGCTACAACTGCAAGAGTTGACTATTGTTGTTGTTAACACGAGTCACTGGTTATATAGTGAAAAAAGCTGTATTAGCAATTACAACGGAGTTCCGATTTACGGCCCAAATATGTGCACATATGAACATACATACATGCATACAAGCGTATTTTGTTGGTGTAGTGCGCAAACAATGCATTCATCAAAAGTGATCCCGAAAGTTCTGTAGTGCGGTGTGCCACTTATTTGCAAAACGTTTTTCACACGGCTTGACCCTAAAAGTGTTCTCTTTACTTTCATGCGTGCATACAAAAATACATACATATGTATGTATGTACCCTGCAGTAAATCGCGCTAATTCAGAGCTAGCGCAGAACTAGTTCTTTAAGAGGCGGAAATTGCCACCTCTGCAGAACTTTCGGACTAGTTCTGAACTGGTTCCATTTTCGACAATTCTGGGACAAAAAGTTTTTTATGAGGAAAAATTTTAAAACTAGATTACTGGATATTTTTTTCTTTTCTGAGCTGTTTCCATTTTGGACAGATCTGCGACAGTGCGGTTTTTATTAAAACATTTTAATTATTCGATTTTTTGAAATTTTTTCATTTTTTCTGTTCATTTACAGATTTCGTTTTATTAAAAAATTTTGTCTTTTATTCTATTTAGATACATTAAGTTTGATAATTTTCTCTTCAATTTTTAAGCGGCACTCAACAATTTAAATTTATTAAATCTGAATATCACAACCCCCTCCACCGCGATTTGAATTCGCGACCAATGATGCTAGAGATAGTTCTGAACAGGATGTCCAGATTCCTTAAAAAGAAAAGAGCCATTTCTGAAAAAAATTGCCAAAAATCGCGAAAAAATTTTTTCTTTGTAAATTTCATGAAATCGGCTTAAAGAATCTTTTACTTTAAAAATGAGATCTTGTTATAACATAGTTTTTAAAACCAAAAGCGAAAGTAATGCCTTCAGGGTAATAATAAATAACACAAATCACTTGTATGATAGTGATGTACAAACAATTTTCTTTAAAAATATTCGTACTTTTAAAAAATATTTGTATTAGCACTTTTTCCAATAGGACTGCGCAATTAATAAATTTATTATAACTCATATTAATTGATTAAAAGTACGATCCGCTTTTAAGCGCTCGGCACTAAAAAATAAAATAAAAGCTATAATAAGGCGATATCAGCTATATCCACTTACGAAATTGCGAATTTCACATTCAGCGAGAGTTGTCACAAATGGTGGTTTAATATTGGCAAATGTTGGATTTGCTACGACAAAATCGATAACAATAAAAAGTGTTGCCACATGAAAATTAAAGCTCTAACTCCATAACCTACTTATCACGTATTCCGACGCATTTACATGATAACGCACAAAAAATTTACTTGAAGGAAAAAAATCGCCAAAGACGATTTTCTAAATTTTTACGCGCATATATCAAAAAAAAAACGCCAAATTGGCGCTGAATCGCCCAATCTGGTTCTGAAATTTATAGGGCGGAAGTAGCGCTATAACAGATTGTCTCTAAATTATACTCTAGGGTATATATTATGTGTGTATGCATTTATGGTTATTGTTAGTACTAACTCTTATACATAAGCTTTTCCTCATGACTGATCCAATAGGAAATATGTATGTTTGTACGCCTGGAAGTGATAGTGAAAAAAAACAAAGATGTACTCATACATATATATACTTATGCAGATACATATACAAATAATGAGGACCCTGTAGGAAAAACTTGGATTTAATTGAAGTATAGTATAAGTTACTGCTACCAAAATTACATTTGTATTACAAGCACTCCGATAAGAATAAGATGGCGAAACGATTATTTAATAATTAAATACTAAGCAATTAACTGTTTTTCAATGTATTTAGTAATTATTTCTTAACATAAAGGTACCAAAAAGCTATTGAGCCTATAGCGATTCGTAAAAAATTTCTGGCATTTACATACATACTTATTTGGCGCTTACTTCAGATGGAACTTTAAAAATTAAGAGTTTGAAAAAAAGTTAATTTCTTTGTTTTAATATTTTCCTAAATTAAAGTGTCTCAAAATTATTACCTGTATGTATTTAAAATAAGTCAAATTATTAGTTTTAAAAATTTTTAGTGAAGAGCTTCTAAATGGCGATTACCTACGTAATTCACAAACTATTCAACACACATTATTGACGACATAAAAACAACTATTATAAAAACAATAAACTAGGCCGGGGTTCAAGCCCTGGTCAAAGCAACATCGCAAAAAATATACAAAAAAGGTTTTTCCTAACCGCGGTCGTCCCTCGGCAGGCAATGGCAAACCTCCGAGTGTATTTTTGCCATGAAAAACAATTTCTCATAAAACTACAATCGCCATTCGGAGTCGGCGTAAAACTGTAGGCCCCTCCCCTCTGCTCTTCCGAACACTAATACTATAAGTGTAAGCGCCAATCTACTATTATTATCATTATTATTATTATTATTACTATTAATTTAATAAAATTTATATTGCGATAAATACTGTTTTCATTTTATTCAAATATTTTCTGTTTTTAATTAATTTTTGGTTTGCATGCTTAACTTAATACACAACATCTTTGGATTATTCCATTCGATAGGGTGGAATGTTTTTTTTTAATCGTTTTAGACTGACCTTCAGAAAGTTGCCTTCCTAGCCTTGGAATAAGAGTACCAAATATTAAGGGAGCTCACGATTTGTAACATTTTAGATGTAAAGTTGTTGCGTAGCGATCATGCACGCGGTTTGTTATTGGAAAAGCAACGAAATAGATTGCTACGTAGCAACTTTACACATAAAATTCTACAAATCGTGAACTCCTCTATAACTTTTAGAATGTCAAATGATGAACCCACCCATGATACAAAAAATAAGGTAGTTCCATTTTCAGTTTTTAGTCACCATATTAGCAACCAGACAATTAAGCAGATTGTAACATTTCATGCTACCATACGCAATATTTAAAATCCTTCAAGTTTTATTATTAATATTTTTGTTTGTTTAAAAACATTTTCTTCTAAGAATCGAAATTTGAACAAGCAAAATTTGTTTTATTTTTGAAAGAGAGAAGCTCAATAAGTTGATAATTGTACATACATAGTTCTCATTTCCAATACTAACAATAAATCATAAATTTTGTTTCACACCAACATTAATATTGAACACTAAATGGGGTATTCACAATTCATGTTAGGTGTCATAATATTGTAAAGTCTTAAAATGTTTAAACGTAAAATAATGGTTAGGCGTTTTGTTACTTAACCAAAATTCATTAGCATCCACTCAAACAAGTAATTATATACATTATTACATGTATTAGTAGAGTGCATTTTTCCTTTTTGAAGTGAAACTTCTTTAGCGGCGGTTGGTTGGTTGGAAGTAAATTGGCAAATTCAACGGAAATGGTGCAACGGAAATGGTTGGGACGGAAACAAGTGCTTCTTAAATGCATTCCCATGGTATTAGTTTAACAAAAAATTGTGCTAATAAAAGGTTAAAGAATAAGACTTAGAAAAAGATCAATGCTAGACTGAAAGTGAAGATAAGTACGTACATAGATAAAGAAAAGGATAAAGGCAAAGGTAAACATGAAAACAAAAACAAAGATGCGTAAAGATAAAGGCAAAAATTAAGATTAAGGTATGTAGAAGAAGAAAATGATAAACATAAGAGAAAAACAAAGATATATATAAAGAAAGAGATGAGGATGAGGATACCGATAAAAGTAAAGGTGAAGATAGAGGAGGAAAGTTTGAAATAAAAGTAATTATAGAGAAAAGGATATAGATAGACACAGAGACTCAG